TTTGGCATAGAAAACTCAGTGCCTATAATATCATAATTGGTTTTTAAAAAGTACAAAATCAAAGTTGAAAAAGTTATTGACAGATGTAAAAACTTTTACACAAAGTTTCCTACGACAAAGATTCAACCTTTATTATTGCAATTGAAGAACTTAGAGTTGTGTGTTTTTCATTCAGTCATTCAAAAACAACTTGATTGACTGGTCGAGCTAAACTGTTCTACAAAAAAGGCAAAGGACTAACCTGTGATCTTGACCATTTCTGCCCTGGTACGTAACAGCTTAAGTAACTCACTGACAGAGTTTGGGGAAATTTTGACTGGATCCCAATCCTTCTGACAGTGTTGCAGCCATAGAGAGCTGATGTCTGCTGTCTTGTTACTGACATTGTACAACTCCAAACCTCCCATGTCAGTCAATACTGACAGTAGGCACCTAAAAAATTATGTAATCTATATATTAATAGGCAAGCATGTTTCTTTAAAACCTTTTTTCTCAGCTCGTGTTCATCGTAGGGAAAATCTACGCATACTGTTAGAAATATATTTTCCTGTAGGTGTGCAGAATCCCTTTATAAATTTAAATAGGCTCAAAGATAATCACAAAAAATGAGTTTAAAAATTTGAAAATATTAACATGGATCTTATGCGTTGCCATGCTGGTAACGAAATAACAACGAAATATAAACAGAAAACCAAAACAAATGGAAGAAACTCAAATCACATGTTTTATTTACAGTGTGGGGTGAAAATAGATAAGTGAGTACATTACGTATTTTTGGTCGAGTTTCGACCACTGGACGACCTCTCGTATTTATTATACAGTGGCCAATTTAACAATTTTACCTGTCCCAGTAAAGTAGAGTGACACATTTGCATAAATAAAACAAGACACAAAGATGTCAGCTGACAAAAACATTGGTTGATTTACTCTGATATACTTTTCATTGAATTGGCCATAATACGAGGGTAGGTAGGTATTTTAAGCCAATTATGAATGGATATGAGTGTACGATGAGTGGAGCAGTCTCAAAGTCTTGTTACTGAATAAGGCTGACATGTTCCTTAGACAGGACTGTTAATAAATAGCCCATACAGCCAATGACAACTAAGGGACCTTCAGTTTAGTGGAATTTGAACCACTTTTGGCCTCGTAGCTTACGAATTGGTCAATTATCAGGAAAGTAGGCCGCTACGTATAGTCATAGTACTCACTAGTGCGGACGTTAATCCATACCAGGAAGTATCGCATCCACAGTGCATGCCTGCAAACATCCACAATTCGTGACCTCCTAGTACTGTAGCTGGATTACAGGACGACGCCACCCGTCCCAGTATTTATTTCCTTGTTTAAAAATCATACAATAAGTGATAAAGGGACGCATTATACAAATCTGTAGGTTTTCAGAGACATAGACTGCAGCTAAAATATTAAACACTTTTTCGGTAGAATGGGGATCTATTGATTGATATGTTTGCTTTCTAACTATTTCCCAATAGTTACTCATAGAAACCTTATGCACTATAATATCTAATTACAATTCAGACCACTCACCGTTGGTTAAGGAGGATGCCTCGAGGTGACCACTGGATGGCGCAAGGCGTGGGAGTGGGCGTCAAAGTTCGCACCAGTTTAGGACTCATGGTGACATCAGTGATCAGCGCGTAGGCATCGTCCTTATCCAGATGAGGCAGGAGGTCGCTGGGGTTGATGCCCAAGGCTGATGTTGGCAGACTGCTTGGAGGTTTTATGAAGTAGCGACGACAGCCAAGACTAGGGGATCCACTCCTTGGATCAGGAGCCAACTCCTTTGAATATTAAGGAATTTATGAACAAGATTTTTGTACCAATTCGTATAGGTTTAATCCCCCTAGGTAAAAACTTTGCGACAGTAAGATGATAAATCATTGGCTACCAGGTAAGACCTGGACCCGGGGCCGATTTACTTTTTCGTTTTGAGGTCCCTAGAGGCAAAAACACCATCCGTTCAAATTCATATATATATGTGTCCGTTAGCACGATAACTTGAGCAAAAATGATCCGATTTTGATTAAATTTGGTATAAACGTGTAAACCTACATTTATTCGAACCAGCATGATCGGACTATGGGAACGGGGGTTTATGGGGTAAAAATTGGTTTTTCCCATTTTTTACCCAAAAAACACAAAATTTTACCAATTTCTTTCCAAACCATTTTGTAGAGCTTTAAAAAACAAATAATTTAGTATATTGAAGCGTTATTATGTGCCTAATAGCTATGGAGAAAAATTAGAAAAAATTGTAAATTTAAAATTCTTATGTTATTCTTAACCCCCGAGGAGGCGCTTCGCCAGTAAAGCAGGAGCGGGCGCATGCAGAGTTTTAGGCTGCAACACTAAATAGCACAAATTTGACCCATTTTACTTTCAGAAACCAAATTTCTTTGTTAATAACATTTTTTTTAACTTAATATGAGTAATATTTCAATTAAACATATTGAGCAATTTTATAGTATCTCAAAAATCCTTTCGGGCTCCGCCCCAGTGGCTCTGGAGTTTCCTATGTTAACCTTATGAGTATTCATATTTAAAAGAGATTAAAGGATTTTGTCAGCTGTTTCAATTACACAATTTGCTCTACGATATTCAATATTATTAAAAGTTATAAGTTCCGCCGACAGGGTGCAGTACTATTATTTGATTTTTCGTTCATGACAACATAGCTAATTTGAACCAAGCCGCAACAAAAGGCTGTGATGCACAATGAGAACTGTTAAAGTAGGATTGTTTGCAGTTAAGTTTATCTTTTTAATTTATAAATAACTAGCTGTAACCTGCGGGCTTTGCCCCGTTTAACTTCTTAATTTTCAAGATTATCTCGTTCGCATGGCTCAATCACGTCCTGGTTGAAGTTTGATCGCTACGCTCACTCACCTTTAGGTTGGAGCTTGTTCGCTGCGCTCACTTGCCTTCAGGTTAGCTAGTTCGCTACGCTAACTCGCCTCCAGGTTGAAGTTCGTTCGCTACGCTCACTCACCTTTTGGTTGCGAATTAGCTGTTGTCATAAATGTAAAAAAAATAATAGTTGGTAATCCTTGTAACTTTAATGCTATTGAACATCATAGAACAGAACCAACTTGTTTAATTGAAACAGCTGTTAAGATTCAATAATTCCATTTCTCATAAGGTTAACATGGGAAACTCCAGAGCCACTGGGGCGGAGCCCGAAAGGATTTTTGAAATAAGAATATGCCTATATGTTAATCGGGAATGTGAGCTATCATCATGCCAAATTTCAGCCCAATCCGACCAGTATTTTTCACGTTCACTTGTCACAAACATACATCCATACATCCAAACTTTCTCATTTATAATATTAGTAGGATGTTTTGATATAGTGCGGATATTCGATAATTTACTTTTTTATTGTTTAGGTGTAGTGGTAGAACATTATTGCTATGGTATATGTGTTCAGTTATACTATAGCTTCCGTAAATTAAAAGAACCAAATTTTCTCAAACCGTGTCCTTTTCCATTGCAAACACAAAGCATGAGTATAACCGCAATAAGTATTTTATACTTATATGCAAACCCCGTACGAAGGACGGGTATTCTGCTAGTATTTTCATTTTTATAAAATATACACACAGTTTGACCAGAGCGCATGGGAAAATAAACTCTACGTTACGCGATAGAGCGCACGTGGAGAAAACCTCCGCAAACTGACACCGTGAGCTAATATTATATATATGTATAATCCTGTTATATTATCTTTGTATGTATGTCTAATATCCTTAATCCCAAGAATACTGATGATTTCATCCAAATTACCCTCTGAATTTAAGAAACTACAATTTCCTTTGTGTCTTGCTTTCGCAATCAACATTATAAGACAATCCCTGACTATCGCCGGTTTAAATTTAGAAAATGCATGCTTTTCACACGGACAGCTGCATGTTCCGTGCTCACGTGGTGGTAGCTACGCCCTAAAACTTATATATTTATACACCTAATGAAAAAAACAAAAAACATTGTTTATCCACTAGCAATTAAGTAAAATATTCTTTTCTTTAGTTTGGTATGCACTTTTATTATTCATCGTAATGAACAAATTACCATTTAAAATAATAGTTGTTAAGTGCAGCAAAGCGCGCCGGGTAACTGCTAGTAGGGAATAAATGTGATATTTTTAAGGACACATTTTCTGAAAAAATCAGATTTTTTTGTTATTTTATGGGTTTTTTTTATGGGAAAATAACATAATTTACAACAACTTTAGAATCGTAATGTTTACGGAAATGGGATTTTTGTACCATTCTATTCAGAATTTATAGGACTATAACATATACAAAATTTTTATCAAAATTGTTGGGGCCATTTACGAGAAGATCTGATTTTTCCGTTACTTATTTTATGAGAAAATCCCCATTAAAAATAAAAATTTCTAAAAAGTGAAAAACCTTCAAAATTTTAAGGACCATAACATACTTAGTTGAATCAAAACCGACTTTTTTTTCTAAAATCATATTTCTTTGTTATTTTATGGGGTTTTTATGGGAAAAAAACATAATTTACAATAACTTTTGAACCACAATTTTTACAGAAATGGGAGTCATACCATTTTGTTCAGAATTCAAAGGGCTACAACATACTAAACTTTTATCAAAATCGTTCAAGCCATTTTTGAGAAAATCCGATTTTTCTGTTATTTTATGGGATTTTATGGGAAAATATACATTAAAAATCAAAATTTCAAAAAAATGAAAATAAAAACCCTGGAGATACCATGGATTAGAACCTAACACACCAAATTTCATCGAAATCGGACCACAGGTGTAGTCCCTAGCTCTGTACACATCCAGACACACAAACATCACTTCGAAAACCACTTTTTTGGGTCCAGGGGGACCCAAAACGGATATATTTCCACTCAAACTCGAAAATTTTAACGAAAACAATACTTTCTCCATATAAGTTATTATTATGGTATAGGGGGAGAAAATAAAAATTAACTATTTTTGAGAAACATTACAGCTTTATTATTATATTCAAGTCATACTATTATATTATCACATAAATAAATATAAATATCTAAAGCACTTAAGACTACATCACAATAAGAAGGTGATTTACAAAAATAAAATGAGATAAAGATGTAAAGAGAAAAATCTAATTAATTCATCACATTTAACACACTGTACCATGAGACTAACCATGGCATTTACATCTTTGGAATAGGTACAGAATATTATGATCATGATCTTTGAAGAGTCTGTAACAACAGTGCTTTTTACAACTCATCTCTATTACCTTCCACTGAACAAATATCCTGAATACTGTTGAATATTCAATCAAGTAGTTGAAGAGTAACAGCACACAATTAACAGTAATTCGGTATAGCAATGTAAGAAAAGGGAAGCTTGTACCCCTAGATGTTAAGGGAAATTTTTAATGAAGGTTCCTTTGTTTTGCATCATTTTTGGCGGGGTAGCGGATTTTTATCCCCCTGGAATTTTACCCCCTGGGCAAACGTTACGTCACAAACCAGGGGGTAAAATTCCGGCCGCAAACTTTTGAGTTTCGCGACATCAGCTCGATGGGTTAAACGCGGAATTAAACATATATTTTCACGGTTGTGAATTTAATCAGAACACATCAAATTATAAAAACCTAGAATGTACGGCCCGGATTTTTACCCCCGGAATTTACCCCCGGATTTTTACCCCCCCGGAATTTTACCCCCGGAATTTTACCCAAGAATTTTACCCCCTGGTCAGATATATAAATTAGTGAGAATGATTAATTATCTTCATTCGGTTTAAATTTAATATTACACATTTTATTATTAAGTAGCCTATCTTAATTTATTTGTAACATTACCCAACTAATCGAACAGGTTAATAATTTTAATTTTGAGATTCGAGTATCAGGATTCAATCTTGTTGGACTGTTGGTTAATACGATCAAAATAAAACTGCAAATTCTGTTTACTTAGTTGAGATTACAAAATAAATAAATAAAGATTGGCTACTAAATAATGAACTGTTTACAATGAATTAAAAACTGAAATAAGGAAATCAATCATTCCATTTCTAAAATCGGCCAGGGGGTAAAATTCCGGGGGGTAAAAATCCGGGGGTAAAAATCCGGCCCGTACATCTTCAGTTGTCTAAACGCTAGTTATATGGACAGGGGGTAAAATTCCGGTTTTTATCGCTAATCTAATTAATCACGCTCTGACTACTTTCATTAGACTTCCAAATCCGCGGGGGTAAAATTCCGGCCGCGAACAAACTTTTGGCCACTCAGGTTACTACGTCATAGTGACGTCAGCTTTGCCCAGGGGGTAAAATTCCAGGGGGATAAAATTCCGGCGACCCTTTTTGGCAACGATCAGAGTGATTGGTGGAATCTACACACTAGTTATTTAAGTTAGTTTGGGAACACAAGGTTTATAAAGAAGCTGTGTACCCTGAAATAAGTGAAAAATTAATTAGTAAGTATACAATCTTGCAGATTCTAAGAAATATTTTTTAATGAGTCTAACTATAGAGATTTGGTTTCATATTGATATATAAAACATGTAACGTGTATATATCACACCAATTGAAACCCAATAGAGTAGAGCAGTTGGGTTATAAACAGTGAATTTGTTGTAGAAAACAAGTTAAAACTAAACAAAACATAAAAAAATATACTGTGCAGATTAAAAAAAAAATTTCATTTTAAAATACCGGTATGTACTATAATCCAACATAAAGAGCTTTCACAATTGTATATAAAATTACATAAACAATAATTATTATAACAATTTTAATCTTATAAAAAATTCATATCTGACATACTTTGTAAACAAAATCTGCACTGATCATTAGCCAGTCCTCATTCAGTCGATTTCCCTAATGATAACTGGAGAAGTTTGTAGTTAATGTATGAAGAAAATAGTTTGTTACTGGGAAGAATATGATACGGGGGATTTACCAAAATAAATTATTTTACCAACTCCAATACATTTTTATATCTAATTCCAAGAGGTAAAAGTAAGCAGTTGTTTATATTTTGAGTCACCGACATGATTTGTTTCAGAGTTGTTGATGAAATTAATTTGTCTCTGGATATGATTCATATTACATTCTCCTTGTAATTGTAGTTTTCTAAGCAAAGATGTTATAAATGTCAGAATATGTCATATATTATTGGTATATTTTTAAAACTAGAGAGTTGTATATAAAAACCCCATTTAATGATCGCTAATGCAACCATCCCTAATGCAATTTTGTCCCATTTTAATGTTATTTAGTCAATGACAACCAATTAATTTTCAATATATTAGTTTAGAAACTTGGTCTATACTTTATAAATATATTCTGCCATGATTTGTATTTATTTCTTTACATTGCATCAAAATGGAACCTATGAGCTTCTTGCAACTTCTCTAAATGATCCTCTTTCCGTTCTTTCCAGTAAAGAGCAGCAATTATCAAAGAAATGAAAACACATGTGGCCAAGAGGGCTAAAACACTTTGGAAGATAAGTTTACTTGGAGTGACAAACAACTGTACTTTCCAGCTGTAAACCTCCTCTATCGGCCAAGGAATCACAACCATTTGGGAATTAGGAATGAGTTGAGTCCATTGACGAGACTTCCCATAGACCTGAACAGTGAGAGTATCGATGAAATTAGGCGTCCGGCCGAGACCGAAGATAGTGTAGGGAAGGTTGAGGGTGAAGTGGGCCGATTGTGGAATCTGAGTAGCGACAGCAGAGCGTGGATCACCTTCTTGTGTCGTTGTTTGGTACATGACTTTAGGCCCGGGGAGGTTTGTACCATAAACTCCAGCAGACTTCCTCAGAGGACCGGGGTTTAACGGGTGTTCAACATTAGTCAGCCCTGTGACGACCATGACTTTCACAAAATTGGCATCGTAATCCAATGTGTTCCTGTAGGCCGATACATTGAACATGGTAGGCTTATCTTGAGAGTGAACGAATATTAAATCGAGAACACCGTCTTGTAGGAAATCGAAGAAAACACCGAGAACTGTATTATTGTTGTAAGGACTTAAAGTATTCCATTGCACTTCAAATGTGCGAGAAAACTCTGTACAAGCTGTCTTGCAGGGAACGTTTTTCAAGAAAAAAGATTTGTACTCTTGCGAGTTTGCTCGGTTGAGTGTAACCATCACGTCTGGATAGCCGTCCATGTTGAAGTCACCTGCTCGCAAAGTTATTGTTTCTGTGTATGGTTTTTGAGGTTTCGTGTTGACAGCGAATTTCCATTTGTTGGCTGTTCCATCTTCATGGAAATTTACATGTAAATCATGCCACTGCCTATCAGATTGAGTGTAAGCGAATATTCTGCTGTTGTCACAGTTCATGTTGTCACACACAGGGACAATGTGATCCAGTTTGCCTTCCAGTTCCATATCTAAAAACACAGTCTGCCCGATCACATCTTGTTTGTTTTTATTTAAGCCTGGAGGGAGATCGATCGTTTGCCAAGGGGTAAACCCATCAGGAATATCCTTATTTCCTTTCCAAATTTCAAACTTGTCCTCTGTTGTGATATAAAGGTCTGCCAGATCGTCGTCATTCAAATCCAGGAAAGCGTGAGAGTGTGGTTTTCTTATTTTCCCCTGAAAGTCGTGAGTTTCGTTGTTTCTCATGGGAATTTTTCTCGGTGTTGTACTGTTTTTATCAAACAACCAAAACGCTCTGTTGTTATCTTCATCAACTCCGAACAAATCAATTACCATATTTTTGTCATAGTCTATTGCAAGGGGCTGGCCATTTGTTTTGAATAATGTTTTATATGTACAATTCAACCGTTTCATTTCTCCCCATAGAACTACTATGTGGTTTAAACTATCACCTTCAACGTTCAAAGTGACCATAACATCCATAAGAGCGTCTCCATTAAAATCTCCTGGGGTTGCACTTGTGATCTTGTAATTATATGGGAATGAACATTTGATTCCATCTGAGTACATCACAGGTTCTTTATCTTGTCCTAACAAAACCTCGACAGTTTTGCTGTTGTTTCGGATGACAAACAGATCAGTTATTTCATCTGAGTTGAAATCTCCGAATGCTGCAGGTAAACCGTCGGTAAAATCACCAAACATCTGTTGAGTAGCATCATCTGCAGATACAGGCACCACAGTAGATATCAGCAAAAGGCAGATGGCCCAAGTCAACAACCCCGTCTTGCCAGCCCTTCTCTGCCAACAAACCAGAATAGAACTCATTAAATACAGTGCATCCATTAAAAAAGCCCACTTGTTTACATAAAAATTGTTGTACATAACATAGGCAAACAATTGTTAGTTAAAATAGTTGAGTAAACTTTACTGTATTTTAAGCTAAGTGCTGGATTTAATTGACTACGGTTACTCTAAGGACTAAATTACTGCCCTCTATTCTAAGATTTGAAGGCAGATAGGGCACGGCAAGCAGTGTACAGGGTTAATTTTGATTTTTAAATACTAAAACGGTCTTATTCACCAGGATATTTAAACCTTCTGGATCCACTTCATCGATGCTTATGACAAAATCATCTTCAAATTTAAAGCGACAAAAAGGATTTTTTTTTTCATAAAAAGGCTGTTATAGGAATAAAAAAGGCCAGGATATTATCCAAACAAATCTAACAAACAATCTGTGGTCTACAGACATTCTGAGGGAAAACTATAAATCCATTTATTTTGTCTTTTAATGTCATAGTTATTTTTTCTTTATTTGTAAGGAAATTGTGCAAACCTGATCTTGCAACTATCTAAGGTTGTCTGATATAAATAGGTAAATAGAAACACTGTGTCACGCAGATCAGAGTATAATATATTTAACCATTTGAATGAATTTCAAAATGAATTAGGCCTAAACCTATGTAATTAAAATTTTTTTTATAAATTAATTTTAACTGAATTTGAATTTTTTTTATGAATACAACCCACTAGGGTTGATTTGATTTTTATTTTGCCAGAAGGAGCCAAGCTACTTTAACGTTAGCAGAGAGCGTTTGCGAAGAATCATAAAAAACTTTGAAATATTCTGATCATGTTTAAACGGTTTTGCCACAACGACGATGTCTCATCTGCGACCATGGTAGATATTTCACTGTGACCAAGATATTCTCAATTATGCCTAACTGCGGAATATGTTCGTGATTTGACTGTTATGGTTTCGCCAGGTTATGGCAATGTTGCAGCGTGCAAAAAAAATTTAAGGTAGGCCTATTTAAAAAAATAAACAATTTCCAAACTTATAGTTTGAAATATGCATATTTCCAAAATAGCTGAGTTTGGAATAGCCAAACTCAAGACCAACTATTTTTTGTTTAGGTGCAAGTTAAAACTTTGAGCGGTAACATTGAATTTAAAATGTATTATACTTACCAAAACATCAATTCCCTTTTCTGTCAGGAAGGCAAAACAATGGTCGAGCGATACGGCTGATGAAAATGGGGCAGTTGCCAAATGAGTCAGGGAGTAGGTCTGAACTTCATTTAACAACATTTTCTTCAATCTGGAAATGTACGGTAGTCTAATTAGTTAAATATTGTTTAGTAACTAACTAACTAAAAGTGGTAATTTTATTGGATCTAAACATCAGTTTCTTCTCTAGGTAGGCCTATAGCCTATAGGCTATTTCAAACTTTATTTTGTATATCCGTAAAGTTCCTATGCACAATAAAATGAAATAACCGGCTTGTACCTGAGATGTCAATATCATTAAATATAGGCCTACAGCATGTCTAATCTTTTGGTAGACTGCTTTATTTTTCACTGTCTTCTCCATGCTGTTACACTCTTTCAGTAGGGTTAGATTGAGGATGTCTACTAGGATTATAGAGGATCTTGCATTTGTAACCTGCCGCTAAGTTCTTAACTGGTGCACCCGTAAATTCTGAACCATTGTCGAAAACTAAGTATTTTGGGACACCATAAACTAAGAAAATGTCTTCTTCCAGATGTTGAGCCACTGCTCTAGCTGTCGCTGCTCTAAGTGGTTTGAGTATAGAAAATTTAGTGAAAGTATCAGTTATTACTAGGATGTATTTGAAACCTTTGGTCGATCTTGGGAAGGGACCCATTAAGTCAGCTGCGACCATCTTCCAGGGTTCATCAACACCCCGCCTTTCACCCATCAACCCAGCAGGTACATTTTGATTGTACTTAGTTCTCTGGCAGATTTTACAACGAGAAATATAGCTAGCAGCGTCCTTCCTCATTTTGGGCCAATAATATTTTAATTGAAGTCTTTTGTATGTTTTGAAAGTGCCTAGATGCCCTGCGGTAGGCTGGTCGTGACATTCTTCCAAAGCTGAAGCCCTACTCTCCTTGGGAAGTACCAATTTCCAAACTTTGTCATCTTCTTCTTCTTCTGACAATCCTATTTGATCATTAAGTCTCTTCAATAGCTGATGGTCCTTCACTCTCCACTGTGGATACTTTTGACCCTCAGATCTGACATTTTTGAGCATCCTTGCATACCACTTATCCTTGACATCTACCGGAATGACTACATCACAGTGAAAATTTTCATCAGGCTCAATAGCGGCAGACCTAGACAACAAATCAGGAACGATATTCTCCTCCCCTTTGCGATGGACCAATTCGAAATCATAGGGTTGCAGTCTCAACGCCCACCTTGCTAATCTACCCTGAGGATCTCTCAAATTATATAACCATAAAAGGCTGTAGTGATCAGTTATAACCTTGAACTTTGTCCCTTCAACATAAGGCCGGAAACGTTCCACCGCCCAAATCACTGCTAAGCACTCTCGCTCAGTAGCTGAGTACTTTTGTTCTTGTTGGCTCAGAGTTCGACTCGCATATGCCACAACAACTTCTCCCTGATTACTTTCCTGGGACAACACAGCACCCACACCAACACCTGATGCGTCACATGAAATAACAAAAGGCTTGGAAAAGTCTGGGCAAGACAAAATCGGTGAGGTTACAAGGCAAGACCTAATATCCAAGAATGCATCTTGAGCCTCCTTTGACCAAACAAATTTTGCACGCTTCTTGAGTAATGTGGTAAGTGGGAAAAGACGAGCAGCAAAATTTGGAATGAACCGCCGATACCATGAGGCTGTCCCACAAAACTGACGGACCTCTTTTTGATTTTGGGGAACTGGCAGATCAATAATCGCTTTGACCTTCTCTGGGTCAACTCTAAGGCCCTTTTCACTGACCACATACCCGAGGTATTTTAATTCAGGACGGCAAAACTGACATTTGTCTCTGTTTAGGGTAACCTTTGCTTCTTTAATTCTTCTCAAAATCTCAGACAATACTTCAATATGTTTTTCAAACGTAGGGGTGACAGCAATAACATCATCAAGGTAAACAAAACAATAGGGTTCCAAGTCAGCTCCTAGAACATTATCCACAAACCTTTGCCATGTCGCTGGAGCATTGCTAAGTCCCATGGGCATTGTGACAAAATGAAAAAGTCCTCGACCAGGCACAGTAAAAGCTGTTTTCTCACGGCAGGATGGATCCAATGGAATTTGCCAAAAGGCACTTTTTATGTCTAAGCTTGAAAGATAACGGGCGTCTCGAAGTCTGTCTAGAATAGTTGTAACCTGTGGTAAGGGATAAGCATCCTTTTTTGATACTGAATTTAGTTTCTTAAAGTTCACACAGACCCTTTTAGAGCCATCAGGCTTGTCAACCAAAAGAATTGGGGAAGACCAATCGCTTTTTGAAGGTTCAACTACACCAAGCTGCAACATCTTATCTAATTCATCGCTAACCATCTTTTGGCGGGCTGGAGACATTGGATAGTAACGCTGCTTCACAGCTGGGGCATTATCGGTATCAATAGTGTGAAATACTTTATCTGTCCTTCCTAATGCAGGTTGTGGTCCACTGAAATGTTTGTTAACTAATTCATTCAATTGATTTTTTTGATCAGCTGTAAGATGCTCTTCTCCCTGAATTCCACCACTGAGTGAGCTACAGTAAGAGGTGTTAATGGCTTTGGAAAACTCCCATCTGCGGTGATGAAGGTCAGCAACAATGTGGAATTTTTCCCAAAAATCAATTCCCAATAGTAGATTATGCCTAAGTGTTGGAACATACAAAACCTCAAGGTACTTAGTCTGTCCTTCAAGAGTGATGGGTAGAACAATGGTTCCCTGAATAGAATGCTTTTTTGAGTCCGCCGTCTCAACAAATTGAACAGAAGGTGATCGAAGCCTAGCTGGAAATCCATTGAAAACCCAATTTCCTTCCTTGCCCAGAATGGTACGAGATGCACCAGAATCCAAGAGTGCACGCATCTCACGACCAAAAACTCTTACATCCAAATACGGACGGGAATCTCCCTCAACTGATTCGATAACAAAAGCAACCTTGCTTTTCCTTTGACTGACATCACTGTTTCTGAACTTTGCATTTTTATTTGGGGAGGCAGCGAGGTTACCCAATCTGGCTCCCCACTCTATGCGTTTTTTGGACAACATGAAGAGCATTCAAATTTTTTAACATTCTTGGCCCCGCAACCATAGCAGAAAGTTGTTCTGGGTTTAGTGCACGCTCTCTGTGCATGTCCCTCTTCATCACAATTCCAGCATTTCATCTTGGTTGACCTGCGAGAATAACTTGCATGAGACACCTCAGCAACACGCTGCTTAATCCCAGTGACCTTTTGGTAGGCTAGGTCAGGTTCTAATATTGGAGCATGGGTAGACATGGCCTTCCAGTTAGCCGCCCTCAATCGACCTAACTCGGCTTTTCTTCCTACAACCCTTAGTTGACCTACAGAAACTATTGGAAACATACATAATTTTTCTTGTAGATATTGATTCAAATTCTTTAACATCTGCTTCAATCGACTATCTTCGCTTACAGGAACAGATAAACGACTATACAGCCCTTCCATAGACGCTATGTAAAGATCTATTGATTCAAGCTCTCCCTGTCTACGATTCATAATCTCCTGTATCAACATGTCATCGTAGTCCGGTGTTTGGAAAACCTCCTTCATCTCCTTGCAAAGATCAGGCCAATTTGAGATTCTTCCTACAGTAGACCTATACCAGATCAAGGAACTCCCAGAAAACAAGTCAACTGCAGATTTAAACAACTGCGATTCCGTTAATCCTCTGGCTCGTCGCAACTCCTCCACTCTCTGTAAAAAGCTGCCAACACTCTGACCAGAACTATTGGAAAACTGTAGACCCCATTTGTGTACGGGAACAAATCCAGGCTTCTGATACTGTTCATTCAGCTCGAGACTAGAGTTACTATTCACCTTATGCGAAATAAGGGGACCTGACATTACTGATCCACCAAGTGGTTCAGAGACCCCTGGATTACAGCTCAAATTCATTGAAGTCCGAAAAACAGGTTTATTTTCTTTAACTGTCGATTCATTATTCTGTGTTAAGTCAGGCGGTATAATTTGCCCCTCAGACTCCTTAGACTCAGTTTCGATTTCTTCCTCATGTTGAGTTAATGTCTTAGGTTCCTTGAAATCATCTAGAAGCTTCTTTGTCTGGATCTTCAAATCAGCTTTTGTTTCCTCTTCGTCGCTGTCCGATGAAGCAGGTACAGGAATCCTATCAACCCTTAAGTACAAATGCCAAAGCCGAGCAACAATTCGTTGATATTCGTTATCTTTAAAAGTTCCTTCGTATGCCCCTATCAACGAAGACAAGTCCCGAAATATTTCATTGCAAATATCAAGTTCCGATTGAGGATCAAGATCACTTACACAACCTGGTACCACCTCTGTGTTTGATCTGAAACAATGAGAAAGTTTTTTCCGGTTCTCCCCAGCAGTACCTTCCACAGGAATATTCCTAATCTTCAACTCATACTCCACTTCGGTTTTCCGTAAATGGTAGGCATTCATATTGATTGTTGCTACTAGATTATACACAGAGACACTTATGCTCATCAACTACCAGGTCATAAATATGTACAGATATAATCATCAATGGCCAATGACAACAGATTTCTTCAATAAAACCATTAAATTGCAAAATACAACAAATATACACACAAAATAACAGTAGACCCCAATCAGTAAAGTCCTCCAATCCAAAACGATAATGTAATCACTGTATAATATCAGCCAGAGATGTAGGCTAATCAATGCTGAAATTCTAAGTCCAAATTGTTGTAGCAAATTTTCTTAATAATCCCAATAATAATAAAAGCAGCTTATTAATTTCCAAAATTCTTCGAGCCCCACGTTGGAAAAGCCATTTGTTACACTCTTTCAGTAGGGTTAGATTGAGGATGTCTACTAGGATTATAGAGGATCTTGCATTTGTAACCTGCCGCTAAGTTCTTAACTGGTGCACCCGTAAATTCTGAACCATTGTCGAAAACTAAGTATTTTGGGACACCATAAACTAAGAAAATGTCTTCTTCCAGATGTTGAGCCACTGCTCTAGCTGTCGCTGCTCTAAGTGGTTTGAGTATAGAAAATTTAGTGAAAGTATCAGTTATTACTAGGATGTATTTGAAACCTTTGGTCGATCTTGGGAAGGGACCCATTAAGTC